CAACGAAGAACTTCTCCTCGAAAACTGTACAGGTGGATACAAGAAACAAATGGATCAGTTGCGCTGGTCACATAATCGTGTTTTGATACTTGACTCTCGTGGATTAGCTAAAAATAATAAGCTTTGCCCTAACAGCAACTCTCTACGTTCAACATTAACCAAGATATCGCGCCTTAAAAAATTCGTCTAATGACATCATCCAACGCGGTAGTAGACCCTTGGTTTCTTCCACCTTGCTTTCAACAGTCAACGTAACACAACTTTTCACTGGTTGCTGAACGCGAAACTTGGATAAAAGGTGGAGGAAACCCATCACTACCGCGGTGGATGACGTCATAAACCGAATATTTCAAATCGCGATATCTCCGTCAAGATTGAACGTGAAAAAATTCTGTTTGGACAGATCTTGTTACTTTTAGCTGATCTACAAGAATCAGACATCAAAACACGATTATGTGACCAACGCATCTGACCCATTAAAGTTCTTCCCCTGTAAATAAAAGGAAGAGGAGAGAAAAAATTTGGGCTCTGTATCCGAAGTGCATCAGGACAGATCGCCTTCTTCATCATAGGACATCGAACGGGAGATTCACTTTCCTTTTTCCAGACGAAAATAGTTTGCACAATATAGCGGAAAATTGAGTAAAACACTTGAAACCTTTATAATTATTAGCAGAAATGACTCACCCAAATCATATTAATGGAAGCGAAATAGATCCATCGTGTAGTTTCAAAGGGATTCATTATCACGCGAAAGGTCACTACACTTTATTCCCGTAAGAGGGTCACTCGCATTTTGATACTAGAGCAAGGCGGAAATGTCACCTCACTGTGTCACAACTAATCTAAATTTATTCAAAAAAAAAAAACGTGTCGATTTTACGGTTACGGCGCGCACTGAAAGCGATGAGCCTGGCTCTGCGACCGGGTTTAGCGGGTTTGTGGTCTTACGCAAGATTTGAGGTGAGTAAAATTGCGAAAAATTTCAGGCGGGGGACGACACGGGAGCAAGGCACGGCAGCTTTGGGAGGAGACCGTTTCAGAAATGAAATACGACCCACTTGAAAACGAAAACATGACTTGTGCTTCAGAGATTTCTCAAACGCTCGGAATCTTTTATCGGTAAGTAAGTACAGCTTATCCGACCGACCTCGATCATGGTACTGGTGAGCATCGATGTGTTGGTGAGAGTCGATGGGCGCCCCTCAGACTGAGCGAGTGTGTGTATGGTGATAAAGTACAGAGGCACTTACAGCCAAAAGGATATTTTAATCGTAGCAATGATGGCGATTCTTGGGCTGAAAATCTACTCTCTATAATCGATTAGATTTAAGGATGGTGGACGGTACCGCCGAATAATCACTTCGTAGATTTAAAGATCAGGCCCATCGATCTTCAAGTAGATCAAACCAACGATTCTGATCTTCCTCGCTGATATAGTTCAAAATTAGCCAACAAGAGTATGCCTAAACTGTTATGTGGTGATTCTGAATAACTGATTCGAGATCGTCACGTGACTATCTAGAAAAATTCAGTTACTGGCTTGAATTGGACAGATTTTTGACCATTTTCAATTGCTCTCTCACTAAGTGGCCAAAAAAAGTAGACTTTATCCTAAATGAAATGATACCATTCAAAATTTCTCCCGTGAGGATAAATTGTATATCTGCCATTTATCTTTTACGAGCAGAATTCTTCCCTTACTTAAACCTGGTTCTTTTCCGCTGATTTCAACCCGAACTCAATTTCACGAGCTATGGAATTGTATTTTTTCACTGTTACGGAACACACTGCACACGCACACTGTGGAACGGATTCTGTAAGTCCTGTCCAGATATATCGACTCAGTTTGGAGCATCCGCAGAAGCGACAAGAAAAAACCCGAATTTGACGCCAGCTCATCGTTTTACGGTGGAAATTTTTCCTAGCGCAGCCTCCGGCCGCATTGGGGGAAAATGTGCGAGTCAGAGGAACTTGATTCTCAGAATCGTGGCCTGCAATTAATGAAATTTGACCACGAACACCTCTCTAATCTTCGTAGCTGTCCTGTCGTTGCCATCGAATCGCGGGTGAATTGTATACAACGCGTTGCCGTACGGAAGAATCCACTTAAATTTTGAGTATTTTGACTTTGCACTTAAATTGTGTATCGATGGCCAATGTGAGAAACCACGTATCTCCTTTTGCGAAGTTGCACACTTCTTATCATACTTTATTTTTTCTTTGGAAAGCTAGTAAACGTAATTTGTTGAGTAGTCCTTTGATTTTTCTACTCTGTTAGCAGAATAATCTGTATAAACACTAAAAAAAAAAATATGGTAGACATTACCATACTCAGACACAGTTATATGGGTATGGTAATAAACACCAGACTATTGTAGCATATACTATATTATGGTAAGCATCACCAGAGTTCTGTTAAATACTACTATAATTCTGGTTATTTTCACTAAATAGTATACTGTGTAAAAAATAAAGTAGACATACAATACTTCTTTTTTTTCAGTGAATTTGAAGCTGTAATGTTGGTTTCTTTCCCTCCGAAAAAATTAAATAAGAGCGGAAATTTTGAAACACCGAAATTGAGATACGTGGTTCCGCACTTTGGACATTGATATGAATGGGAAACTCATAAAACATGCAACTCGACTGCGACGTAAATAATCAACGCGTGAACATTACCGGAACGAGACGAAAGGGGCGAAGGGGCTGCGCGCAACTATTCGTGTTCCCAAGCCGCTCATATTGCCAACACGGTTATTGAAGGCGAACTCGACTGAATGAGAGACACGCTGTGAGGAGAGTGATCAACGTATGTTCCTTGTGTTTCTCTTCTGACGTCTTTTCATTGTGTCTTATTTTTTACCATTTACAATGATCCTCGGGATTTGTTATTTTTGTTATTTTTTTTTTGCATTTCTGTATACTTTGGTGTTTTCACAACAGAAAAATAAGGTTAGAGTAGAAAGAGTATAGTGGAAGGTTATAGGGCACGATTGTTCACCTGGCCCGTCACAATCAGCTACAAAACTTTATGGCAGATGCTTAAAGTTGCGGATGAAAAAGGCGGTGGTTACTTAATTAGATAGACAGATTTTGATACGAAAAAATACAAATTTGGTTAATGCTCGAGTGCGAGATTGGAGAGCAATGCGCAATGTAGTCTTTTTTTTTGAAATGGTGGAGAAAGTGTCGGTATTTGGGCAGAGAAAGGTTAGCGAACGCTTCAAGAAAGATACAGGGCATTTTTATAGACCGGTTCACCTATAAGCACGATTCAGGAGAAGATATTTCGGCCATGGCGCAGGTATTAAAATATTTTGCGCAGCAAAATTAATACCATTTAGTTGAACAAATATAACTTTCAGTGTAAACAAAATTTACATCTGTGTGTCCAGTAGCAGTTATGTGAGACGTTTCAATTTTAGAAATTTGACCTCCTCCCTTCTAACATGGAGAACATTTCTAGATGTGCGGTAGACACGAGTCACTTTTGTAAATTCTGGCAAAAAGGTGGTAAACATGGAACATGCTGGAAGCCAACATACTTTTCTAAGAGGAGCTAACTTTCCGAGAGGTAATGCTAATTGGTTACTTCGACAACGACTCTACTTCGAAGAGTTAATCGCCGATATTTACGATATTATAACAACGAAGACTTTCGTCTCTCGACTCAACCAGTTTTCGTTCTCTTTACTTTTCTTCCGCACGAAAAGAAATAAAAACATGCATGGTTGTGCTACAGGTACACGGTCGTATTGTCACATCGGGATCCACGGCAGTAGAATCGTATATTTTGGTGATTGCGATAATGAGCACAGTGATATTATGTTATTGTTTGTATGTATGTATTATTATGTTACTGTGAGCGCAGTAAAGCCGCCACGGCCCCCTATCGAGCGACGACCGATCGGAAATTGAATACCTTAACATTAAAATGTCTACAGCTTCAATTCTATCTCTCCACCCTTCACCCTTCTTCAGGAACCAATTAACTGACCAAAATTTACGCGAATTTCTTGTAGCATTACGACCGTGAACCGTGACCATGCTCTTTATATAGTCATCGTAGAAATTCGGGTCGTTTCTAGACTGAGAGTTTCCTTCACATGCAAATCCAGACACCTCAAACGGAGAAGGAGGATCTAGGGGAGGCCCTCAGGGGTCAGGGGCCTGGGGTCTCCCCCAGGAAATTGTTGATCTTTTGAAGCCTCTAATACGCAGTTTCAGTCAATATCGTCATAAATATTACTAACTTTAAGCGTCTTTCCTCCGTTTATCCCTTCCTCCTTCCATCTGTTCCTCTTGCTATTTTTTTTTTCGGGTGAACAGGGGGAGCGTACACCCCTTCCCCCCTCCTTGGATCCGCTAATGCTACATGACGATCCTTTCATATCCCTCCTAAAGCACCTCCAGAGCCCAACCACACTGAAAAATAAAAATTACGAGCCATGATGCATCATTCCATACGGGGCATGATGAACATACCGTCCGTTCCGAGCTCAGAGGCCATAACTTCCGGGGGATACAGCTGTAGCTTCGATTGCTCCTGGTCTACGCCCGGAACTTTCGGCATCTGAGCCCGGAACGTGGACGGTATGTCTATATAGCCCGTAAACACGGCTTCCATGACCGGAGTTTCGTTTTCAATGCATAGAAACCATAGAGTACATAGAGTCGTAATGTAAGCGGGTGAGCTGGCGCCACTTTTAAGCATTTTCCAGGTCCCGAATTCCGAGACTCCTGTGTGACGCCGGGTCACTTTTACGATACATAATCGATTGTTTGCGATACACGGGTGCCCGGCCATCTGATGCAAACAAAGGAGATAGGAATCACCACGTATTCCATACCGCCATTTTGGATCGAACATGTATCGAAAAAGTGACCTGAACTCGGCGCACACCGGGCTCGGAACTCGTCGAGCAGAACATGGCGCCAGCTCTCCCATTTACATTACGACTCTATGTACTCTATGATAGAAACTAAGGAGTACTTACATGCTTGGGTCTGCGATGTTGAGGAGCTCCGAGGGGGAGGTGGGGACCTTGCGGATGGTCATCTTCTTGCCGTCGGTGGAGCCCATGCCGATGGAGGCCAGGGACCGCACCGAGACGACCTGCGAGAGGGGTCGCAGGAGGTTCGAGTTGGGCGAGTCCCCGAAAGCGAACGACGCCAGACTCGGCGACGTCGGGATGACCAGGTGCTGCTCCTCGCTGACCGGCACCCTCAGCGACCGCAGACTCGCCGCCCCGGACGCCGCCCGCGGCACCACCAGACTGTCCAGCGACGGCTTCCATGTCCCGCTCCCGCTTCCACTGCTACCCGTACTTCCGGCACCCTTCTCGCTCTTCCGCTTCCTATGGTGCTGGTGGTGGTGGTGATGGTGGTGATGCTCCTTGTCCAGGGGCACGATGATGATCTTCTGCTGCTGGCTCCCGGGCTTGGAGTTGTTCCCGTTGAGGAGGAGTTTCCGGGTCTCCTCCTGGACCCGCTCGTTCTCCAAGACGCGCTGAGCCATTCTGGCCCGGCTGCCGGGACTCGAACCCGAGACCTCTGTAATGTGCACCGGGTGGTTGATCTTGTTATCGGCCAACTTCTGGCTCACGATCCGCGGTACCGGCCCCCCGCTGGGCAGCAGCTTGGCCTTCACGCTGCTGATGTTGTTGTTGTTATTATTATTTATGAGAGACATGGCAACGTCTAGAAATTCGACGGAGACATTATTGCGCGGAAGTTCGATTTGAGCGGGGTGTCGGCGACTTTGTGAGTGTTGCTTTTGAGAGGGGCAATGGAACTACCGAGTATTTACGAATCTCACGATAATAACAATCGAGGATAAGGTGGCTGAAACGCGTCAATCGTTGAACCTTATCACCCTGGAGACCGGTTTAAGCTCAATTTTGTTGAGTATTTTACGGTTGATCGTTTTTTAATCGGCGGACTTTCCGCTCGAAAGTGCAGACCGGATGATTTATAATTTTAAAAGATAATGGAATGCAAGGGAATTAAGAGGCTCGAGTGTCTATAAATTATTTTCGCCGATCAAAGGAAGTTATTTGCGCGGTTGGAGATGATTGCCTTCCGTCTGCCTGCAGACCTTGCACTGTAATGGAGTTCCTAGCGATGCCGGAACCAACTTGAGCATTTGAAGGTATATGATCAAAATGCGAGGAGAGGGGCCAAGAATCCAAGATAGGAAGTCTCAAAAGATTACCTGCTATCAATTAATTTTGCTAAAAAAAAAGGGAACCGTTGTCGAAAGGATAGAATGACTAAAAAACACACTACTGACCGAAAGAGAGTAACAGTCCTGGTTCAAAACACAACAAACGAGGACACGGAATGATTAATAGTGGACACAATTTAACGCTACGCTATCGAACCTAAAATTTAGATATCACAGTCGAAGTACAGCCTTGGATTTCCTTCTCCTCACACCGAGAAAAATGACTTTTGAGGATCGAATCACCGGGATCGTTCCGAGTTGGGCAACCTGTTGCTGTTGGGATGATGAGTCGGGCAACCAGTTGCTGTTGGGCTAGGAAGTTGAGCAACTAATCGTTGCGGGTCGGTAGTATCAAACGAGTTGTCTTCCTTTTCAATTACTGTCACAATCCGAACCGGAGTCAGCACGCTCGCACACAACACAAACAACAGACGCGAACACCATTTCCCGCACCGAAAAATCTAGAAAACAATCGGGGAATTCAGCTAAAAAACGACGATTAAGCTAAACACCGTCGGGCGCCGGTCGTCAAAAGTCCTTTTGGAACTTGTACTCGATTTTCGAGATCTTGGTGGACGAGAGCCGGTGGCGGTGATGGACAAACACCATGATGCAGGAGACTACACCTCGCGCGTTTCGAATACGACTAGCGACTAAGCCAGCCGAGAAAAAATACTCAAGTTGTACGTTGTAGCATGTGTTAGCTCATCCGCGGGGCAGGGGGCCCCCCTCCGTGGAGCAGCCCCCCCCCTCCCTCCACGGCGGCGCGACGCGACGAGGCCCGACTCCCACTCTGCCTGCCAGTAAATGGTACATGCAAATAGCGTCTCGCTGCCGCGCGCCGCGCGCCCGGCCGAACCGCGCGTCATACCTGCGCGCCGCGCGTTAGGCTGATTGCTACCGCTACCGTCGTGCCCCCGACCAGCCC